TGCTCTTCCTAGTGTATATTGATATAATTATGCATATAATGTAGCTATCTTAGAGCGTTGTAATGCATGTGGAATTTGGCGCAATTGATCCTCTCAATTTCCCCCCTTAGCGAGTATATAGTATGCATAATATTGGTTGAAAGTAACATATTCTATCTTAGTTTTCAATAATACACGCATCTTAAGAATAAAATTTATTGTATGGTGATCTCTGTAGTAACTTACAGCCTCAAAATTTCTATTTGTTAGGGTACTTGATTCATAAAAAAAGTATTGGCGCAATTAATCACAACACTATAGTAGCTATAATATTGGTAACTCTATTACTAACTATAATATCTACTATACTATAATATCTACTACTCTACCTAATATAATATACTACTCTAACTACCTAACTAACTACTATAACAACCTTTTATTCTACTATTTCTACGATCTCCTGGTCATCAATGTCTCCTTCTGCCTTCACAGCCACGCACTGAATGTGGCACGGTGACTTGTTGAACGAGTTGACTCGTCCATGCGCCCTGAAGCATCGTCCATATATTTTTGGTGCCTTGTTTATCGATACCATTTGAATCACAAGCTGACTTGGGTCAATTCCCTTCACCATGGCGTTGTTCTTCAGATTCCTCAGCACTTTGAGCACGTAGTTGCAGCTCTTTGCTGGCCACCTTCCCTTTGTTGCAGGATGAACTCCATTCATGAACTTCTGCGCCTGCTTCGTGTTTCCGCATCCTCCGTTGTATCGGAGCATCGGTACACACTCAGCGTGGTCCAATACGTTTGCCAAGTAGACCATTGCGTCCTCGAGACTCCTCCCCCTGAGAGTGTTGCACGTCTCCCTCGTCTTCTTGAAACTCACCTGTGCATTGGTTATGCACGCTTTCACCGTGTTATCAGCGCTGATTATTTCGGTGTTGTACGCCTTAGGCATTGGGGTAAAATTTGTAAAATAATTTAGTAGGGGACTATTAGGCAATTTGTATAAAATGAGATTGTAGTACTCATATGATTTAGTTACTAGTGGTATTGGTTAGAACTACCACATTTCATACTAAACAGACCCAATGGAAGAAACAAAGAGAATTAGAATACTACGAATTCATCCAACGTACGCCTGGAAGTGGAACATCAAGGAAGAGTGCTGCTTGATATGCCAGCAGGAGTTCAATGCGACGTGCAACACCTGTGTCCATCCATTGGAGTGTGTTCCAGTCGTAGGGTGCTGTGGCCACACGTTTCATCTCCATTGCATGCAATCGTGGCAGGAGAACAACGAGAACTGTCCAATCTGCAGAAACAAGTACGAAATATCAAAAATATTCAGCAACAAAGTGAGCAGGAGATTCTGATGGATTTGTGCCCTGATGGAGGAAGACTACGAGCCAACTGAGTTGAATGAGGAGACCAATTTGGTAACCAAGATAATCTACAGCAAGAGGACACCCTATTCGAGTGATACAACTGGTAGAAATGTATTGGATAACTTACAGAATCCATTTGTAGGAGAATACTTGCACAAGCAGATTAAGAGAAGGAAGGAAGTCATAGAGGCATTGGAAGAGAAGTTGGCAAAGATACTGAGGTTGTAGTGGTGTAGTAGTAGTAGTAGAGCAAATAGTAGAGTGGTAGTTAGCTACTACTCTAGTTAGCTACTAATCTACCTAACCACCACTCTAACTATTACTACCACTCTACCTAACTACCACTGTAATAAATTGGTGCTATTTCTGTTGATGACTTCTTTTTGCCCAGAATATGCCAAAAGAATCAAAGAAGAGTATCACGTGTGAAATAGGCGATATTCATCACAACAACATTCTGGTTAAGTCATTTGATGACGTATGTCAGGGTAATGAGCCATCGTACACACTGGTGCCACTGCCATTCCACGAATTCAAGTTTCTCAGAACCAGAAACCAGCGATTTGAAATGATTTATTCGAGTGAGACATTTGTGCTCACATTTGAAATCAAACAGATTCCAGTGGAGTATCCTGATGAAATCATATTCGTGAATGTGTGTTGTATGAACCACTTCAGAAACAGGAAACTAAGGATAGAAGACAGTAAGACAGATCGGGTAGTAGTAATTGATGTAGAGTAAATTGACGTAGCCAATTGGCCTACTCATAAGAACCCATGTTCTTGGTAACCCCTGAATCAGACACTCTTCAATAAATTGTTTAAATGATCTTCTTGATGCTTGATCCGTGATTGGTGTCATCAATCTGATACCCAGCATCCTTCAGACTCTCTCTCAGACTGTCGCATACCTCAAAATACGCCTTGGAATCCGAGTTCTTTTTGGCTGCTTCCCTGACCTCAGACCTGAAATCATTCAGAATGTGAATCACCCTTTCCTCACTCTTCCTCGATTCGAAGTCTGGCTCAATTCCAAGTATCCTAAACATCCTCTTGGCGTACTCCAGTATCGTATGAAGAATGTCTGCACTTAGTGAATGGATTTCTGAATTGGTCTGGCCTATCAGGTTCATTATCTCCTGAAATGCGTCACTGTAGTTGAAATTGTCTCTCAGTGACTGGTCCACGCTTCGTTTGGTCTCATTCAGCCGCCTACGAAACTCCTTGTCCAACTCAGTGATGGACTGGAGCTGCTGCCTGCTCTGCTTGAGTTTATGGGAAGCCAGAATTCCATCTGCTGTTCCAATGAAGTTGACGAGTCTCTTTCTCGTGGCATCGGCCCTGTCCAGCTGCTGCTTGTCGTAGTTCATTGGCGTATTCCAGGCGTGCTGAATAAACAGAATTCTGACTGTTTCTGGTGAGTACTCCTTGAGAATGTCTGAAATTGTCAGGAAGTTCTTGAGGCTCTTTGACATCTTGCGCCCATCGATGTTCAGGTGGCCCGTATGCGCGAAATAGGAGACCCAGCGAGCACCAAAGTGGGCCTGGCACTGCGCTATCTCGTTCTCGTGGTGCGGAAATGCCAGATCCACTCCACCAGCGTGAATATCCAGTTTCTTCCCAAATACGGCCGATGACATCACAGAGCACTCGATGTGCCATCCTGGCCTTCCCATTCCCCAGGGTGAGTTGTACTTGATCTCATTCCCCTTAGACGCCTTCCACAACACGAAGTCTTCCTCGCTTTTCTTCTCTTTCACGCCCGTCTTCTCGCCCTCTAAAACAGTCTCGTCCTTTCTGGTCTCAGGTCTCAGGGTGTGGTACCTGAACGACTTCTTGTAGCTTTCTAGGTCGAAATAGACCGATCCATCACTCTCGTAGGCGAACTTCTTCTCCACCAACTTTCTGGTGAATTCAATTATTTCTGGCACGTACTCGTTTACCCTCGTAATGAAGTTTGGCCTTCTTATTTTGAATGAGTCCAATGCATCAAAGAACTCAGTCTCGTACCTCTTGCTCAGCTCAATTGCGTCAATCTTCTCCTCTGCCGCCCTGTTGATGATCTTGTCGTCGATGTTTGTGATGTTCATCACCACAGTTACGCCGTACTTGAAGTAGTCTTCGAGCACCCTTCTCAGAATGTCAAATGAGATGTACGTTCTACCGTGACCAATGTGGGGTGAGTCGTAGACTGTTGGTCCACAGATGTAGATTGTGACATCTGTTGGGTCTTCTGGCTTGAATTCATCTTTCTTCTTTGTTAATGAGTTGTAGATGTAAACTTTATCCATTTGTTAGGGCTGAATTAATTGTGATAAAATGATTGGAATGAAACC